TTTTTTTTTTTTGAAATATTCCTAAAGCATCTAGATGCGTTTCTGTATCAAAAAGAAAATTTTGAAAAAAATGTCGCTTACGTTATTTTGGCGGTTTTTCTTAAAAATTGTTTTAAGAACTGTATTTGCGTTTAAACACACGGAGATTTTTTAACAAAATGTTATAAACATATTTCATGTAAAATAAATTTTAAAGGCATGTAAGTTTTACTTAGTGATAAATAGCGGGACCCACGGCGGATGAGCGGGATGGGGTTTGAATATGTAGTTGCGCGCCCATTTCTGTTAGATAATGTAGAATTCTAGTTATGTATCAATACCAAATTGTTATATTATGGAAAAAGTTTATTTCCATAAATTTGTGGTAAATTGGTCTTAATCATAAGATTTTTTCAACATAATTTGGTGTTAATATGTTAGAAACATCGTTGTAATACTTATTTCAATTAACTAAGTTAAATTTGACTTTTATAACAAGGCACTGTAATTCTTCATTTTACGTCTCATTGAAATTCACTGCTACTTTTAAACTGGCGGCAACCCGCTCCGAAAATATTTTACTTAAAGCTTTCCCTTCAAAATTACTCTACAAATAAACCTCGTTCATTCGACACACATAAAGAATATTCAATTTAACTTGTCAACTCAATTGATTTCATATTATTGAACAGGTGGCAACCCTCATCGAAATAAAACATTTTGCACATCTACCGGTTGTTACCCTGCTCTTATAATTCATTTAACTTGTTAGATAAATTTATTTTGAATTTCTAAACAGGTGGCAACTCTCTTAAAAAATATTTTCGAAATAAATCTTTCTTAAACATCTCGTTTGACACCCATATTAATGTATTTCATTTAACTTGTTAATTGAATCTATTTTGTATTTTTAAATAGGTGGCAACCCTCGTCAAATATATTTCCATAATAAATCTTTTTAAGCTATTTTAGTTTGATGCCCATATTGTTGTAATATTTTATTAAATGTTTTAATTAATTGATGTTTTGGAAACCGTGGCAACTCTCTTCAAAAAGTATATTTTTATTTTAGCGTAAATGGGCAATAAGCACACATATAAGTAGGATACCTACTTGTTTGAAATTACCACAAGTTAGCCTTTCAGCTCAACTAGTTCGTAATAAAATCCAAGCACTTTAGAAAATGTTAATAACTGTAGCTTCGCAAATAACTTGGATTTCGAAAAAAATTTACATTTTATTTTTTTTTTATCATCGTGAGCCACAACAAAAATTAACTCCACCAAAAAGCTCGACCTTCAAAAAGAGATTTTTACTCATTAACAAAGTAAATTATATTTAAATTTAAATACTTAACTTTCTCCAAGCGGATCTCAAAACCGGAAAGGACGCCACAACCCTCATTTGTCAGAATTTGTGAGTTGTCGATGATCGTATAAGTTGCTGGAAATTTTCGAACTGGTAGGCCACTGCTTTAGCTTATACCAGTTAGTTGCAGGTTAGTTTCAGCGTAGGAGCATCGGCTAAATCTTGATTAATTTCAAAACATTGTATGTGCATTGCCGGAAACGAAATGAGTATTAAAACGTGAATATATATTAAAAATTTATAATAAAAAATGCCAACATTTTATGATATTTTGTCTTGTTTTTTACTGCGGCACTGTTGGCTGTATACATATGAAGAAATTATATAAGATTTGAAGCAAGCGAATGTCCTCTTTTCTAGATGAAAAATTACACTCATTTAGTCGCTAAAATCTATGAAAAATGGCTTATGTGTTTTTATTCTTTGAGAACCTCGAAAAAAGTGTATTCAATTTTTGTTGTTTTGTCACATAGTGTTCTCTAATGTTGGTTCATATACGCCTGACAATTTTTTGTCATTCACTTTCGAGATTTATGTTCTTTGGTGGTTAGCTGAATAACTGGACATTTGGCACCTTCGTTCGAATCATTTTATTTAATGCATTGCTAAATGTCATAATTCACCAAAAAAAAACATTTTCAGGCGCCAGATATAACTGGTTCAAGTGTACCAGAATTTAATATATTTACGTCACGAACAGAATTACACTTTTTACGATAGAAGCAACAACATCTTTCCAAAATTATCTGCCGATAGAACTATCTCAGTGTTGTCGGCAAAGGTAACGAAAGCGCAAAAGTTAGCATTAGCTTTTCACTTTCTGTTGAGCACAAGTTCGTGTCTTAAGTCTTTCGTTGGCTAAATACGCACAATAAAGTAGTCACAAATATGTGTGTACATATATATGTATGTAAATTAAACAGAAGTATCATTTTAAGACCTGCTTAATAGATCAAGGGCAGAAGTATTTAGAACTGTAGCAACCATTACAGAATTGGGCTCCCATATTATAAAGCATACTGCAGCCGTCAATTGGATGATAGCGAAGAAAGCGTTCAGGATATCAAATAAATATTTTTCCTTACTGACCTTTGGGGGCACCCATGCACTGAAATTAGCCGCATTCGTAAATTCATAATCGGCTTGATATCTACGCCCAATTAGAAGGATAGTATTCCGTGCAAGCACCATGTCGGATAGTCGGGCGTTATTCACAGCCATATGTGCACATCACAAACGGAGCATGCAGGGCTGACAGCGAACAGTAAACTGTCTAAATATATAGCAAAACATATGTATATAGTGCACGAGATGCCGCTTCTGCGCTTATTTTGCACTACTTTCAACACAGATCCGAAAAGATTTTCTGCGGAGTATTTTCGCCCATTTATACATATACAAATATTCGTAGCTGTGCAAGTTTGAAATTTTTGTATTTTTATATCAAAAAACGAGTTCAATATTATTTATTATAAATTAACGAATTTATTTAACACCACACGAAAATATTTTTATTTATATCGACGTTGGAAGCGTCGTTGAAATTTAAATATATTGGGGCGTATTCTTGTTTTCGTTCGAATCGAAAATCATGAAATTATCCCATCATTTTCTATACAAAAATTTAAAATTTTCGATTCGCACGAAAACAAGAATATGCCTCAATGTATGTATGTATGTATATTAGGGTGTCCCAGAATATTAGCAGTGAGTTTTTCTGAGAAACTCGAAATGCATACCCACTAAATTTTGTACTCTTGACCTAAATAACACTCTTACGCTATACAAATTGTTATTGCTGTAAGATGACCATAACCTTAACTTAACTTAAAAAAATTGAATTTTTTGTTGAGAACTGGTACTGAGATAACCACACGATGTGATAAAATTTAATTTCACATAAACAATTGGCATGTTTGTACTACACACACGGGATATTAAAGAATAGAAATTTTATTCAAGACATTATTTATTTTTCTCTAAAGAGTTTTTTCACGTCAATTATCCTTCGCAAGTAAGTTTAAGAAAGCAACCATCTTATAGACGCTCTTTAGTGTCTAAGGTTACTAGTATTTCATTTGTTGACCTGTAAACCGATCTTGCTATAGCATAGCTAAGCTTCTGGAAAACTAGAGTTCCTTCTTTGGCGCATTATCTCGTGATACAAAAACTATAAGACGAGCTATTTTATCTAACGCAGCTTTCTACAACTCCACTTTACACTACCGTGACAGGAAACTAGCTCTATGTCTACGAGTTATATAGTAACTTCGCGAATGCGACTTGTTTCACTTCGATTAGAGCCTTTGGATCTTGCCTTCTCAATTACTATTCCAGAAGCCTGCTGTTTAACCAAATCCTAATAAAGGAATAGGGCTCTGGTGTTTAATGGAAGTAAATGAGGAGGTAATTGGTTTCGTATTTTTCTCCATACAAGGTATGAGCGATTTTTTTTATATGGAAGTAAATACTTAGAGCTGTCAGCAAAAAAAAATTTTAGATGCCTAAATGAAGGGGGAATACGAAGAAGTGCAAGATTGTGTAAGCCATTATTTTGGAATTTATCCGTTTTGCGATGAAGGAATTATACTCATAAAAAGCACACAATATATCCAAAGTAACACGTCGAATTGTTATCTAAACGACTTGGATCTTTTATAAAAGTTATGATGGCATTATAAAAATAATAAAAACTATTAAGGTCATTTGATTTTTTTTTTTTTTTCAAATTACTTGGTCTACAAACTTTCAAATATTGTTAATTTTAAAAATGCATAATTAACAAAATGTATTTGCAAGTGAATCTTCAAAAAAGCAATGGAAACCCGGTTTTGCTTAACTCAGCATCATAAGCGCTGATTATTGGGCCCAGCAAAGGACATATTGATGGTTCTGGAATGAAAAAAAAAAAAAAAATTACAAAGAAAAAAAGTCCTACCAATTTTTAGTTTTTATTTTTCAAATCAATTGTTTTATTAAATTTTTTACTTATATCGTCACTAGGCACGAATAAAGGCGCGCTAGTATTTTGAAGGCGCAAAAAAAATCTCACGAAAGAAGACGACTAAGAACAACTTCGGCAAAGAATGAAGACACGTAAACTTAGCCTTACACCTGGCCATGGACTGTCACTTCAGCATCATTCCCCAAAACCTTTTTGGGAATGTGCATACTGTTACACCCTCAAAGAATGCTGACCTCGAAAATAAGTTTAAGTTTTAAGTGTCATGAATAAGGAACAACAACACGTCCAATTTGTTATAAAAATTACTTAGCTTTTTTTAAAACTTAAAATGGTATTATTAAAATAATTCTGAAATGAGTAACACAAAATCTCCCGAAAAAATTTAGAGGCTATGCGTATCAAATTTCGCTAAATAAAGTTTCTGGGACACCCTAATGTTTGCTTATACATTTGCATCTTTTTTTTAGTATCAGAAATCTTGCTGAGATCTGCTTTTGCTGCCGCTGCCGCTGCCGCTGGACCATAGCCGTGACACACGTATAAAAGTCTGTTATTGGCGCATGAAGCTTGTCATTCAGCGTGTCGCGTTTTTAGGTGAATTTTGTTCCGCTTTATTTTAGTTTTTCGTTGACACTATTTTTATTTATTACGTAGATTAAAAAATTATAATTTAAGAAGTTTTTAGAAGTGCTTGAATTTCTAGTCAAATAAATACGAAGTGCATTAATAATGAAGTTATTCTTGGTTCTCTGCTTGTGCGCCGCCTCCACGCTCGGCGCGAAAGAGGAAGTGAAATTGATCTCAAATGAAGCGATGGTGGAATATGATGGCAAATTTCACTACCAGTAAGCATTATTTCGCTAATTGAATGATAAGTAAATGATTGAAGGAGTTATCGATCTGGAATGATTGTTTTCCCTAAGAGTGCGCTGCTTTTTCAACTCAGAACTATGACTTTCTTACTTTTCAAAGAATGTAAAAGAATTTATTAACAATTAAAAACAATCTAATAACTTAAGGGAACTAAAAACAGGATTTTTTTTAAACTCAAGTGTCTGCCGTAAGGAGGAAGTTCAATAACTTTTGTTTATGTTTGTTATGGTTTCGTTGATATTTAGAAATAAAAGTAGCTCATGTTTGTTTCAAATCACAAATAAACAAATCGCATGACATCATTCTTATCTAATTATTTAAAATTCTAGCTCCGAAGTTATTTATTAAAACATTTTTTTATAAAAGCCAGTTTTTTAGTGGACAATGTAAAAGGCCATTATTGAATATTGAAGGTCCATAAAATAAGTCTAATGAACGAATACAAGAATATACTCAAACCGAAATTTTTCCTAAGTATAAGCCCACAAATATGCATACACGAAATATACATACTTGTTAATTTTTTTTTTCATATATTTTTATTAACCATTTTTACGCTAATAACAAACGTCTCGGATTTTCTGTATCATCTGGCGGTTTTCGGTAACGAGTTTTCTATGGACGCTCATGAGTCATAATCCACAAAGCCTTTCTTCTCCTGTTGTGCTTCTGAGCCAGGTTTTTACTCTATGAAGTGTAAAACCGCTCAAAATGGAAATACACCTTTTATCGCTTCAACATCCTTCAATTCTTCTTCGGACAAGTTCTATTTCTGTTTCCTTTTTTTGTTTACCTACCTAAAGTGTAGTTATTGTCTTCATTTGCAAAATGTTTGCTGTAGATTCCAGCAACGTTGAATATTTAGCAATTGTCATTAAAGCAAAGATGCAGCTGCCCGCCCACTGGCCCTACCTGGATGTTGCCAAAGTGGTATTATGAGTGCATTTTACCCCCGATTTGAAACATTTTTCATCGAGGTCACTCTTTTCTTTCGTATTTATTTACCTCTCGACTATTCCACTCGCAAAAATAACGAGAGTACTTAATATATCCTCCTTATATTCTCATTGAAAACCTTTAAATCACTGACCACTTGCCAATTATGTGTCCCATTCTCAATGTTTCTAAGTATTAGTTCCATTATAGTGTATGACTCCTTCATGTCAGTGGCATATGCTAGCGGAACCTACAGAATTTAATTTTTGTTGTACAGCAACAATGCCTTTAAGCCTAAATATATGTATATTTGAGAAGGCGATAGAAAGGCATTGGAAGACATAGAAAGTCATTGGAAAGGATGAGAAGGAATTGGAAGGGATAAGAAGGCATTAGAGTGGATAGGAACAAATTAGAAGGTATAAGAAGGCATTAGAAGGGACAGGAAGATACTGGAAGGGAGGGGGAGGCAATGGAAGGGATAGGAAGGTACTGGAAGGGATAGGAATGCATTGGAAGGGATACGAAGGCGTTGGAAGGGATGAGAAGGCGTTGGACAGGATAGGAGACCCCCTCCGCCCCTACCTGGTTACGCCCTTGTGATTATCTATATACATATGTACATAAAAGCAATGCAGTTAACAAAATCTTTCAGAGAACTCTCTGCGCTCTGGAAAATTATAAATATGAAGTAGAAGTGCCAGTTTCAGTGTTTTTAGTTTTTGCAAAGGGCTCAGAAGATTTTTTTTTTTCATACTAAGCACGTCGAGTAACTCACAGCTGCTAGCCGGAAAACACCTTCTTTGAAACAACAAATTGACTATACATATAATTATTTTTTTTATATTTACTTTATACAAATTTTTTTTGCATGATAATTAGATGGCTAGCAATTCCTCTAGAAATAACTTTATTTACTTGGCGCATATTTAGCATGGGCTTTTTCCCCAATTTCAAACAATTTCGATAATTTTCTATATCAGACTTATTGCGATAATTGGACGAAGTTTGATGGAAATCGATAAAACGGTGGCTGATGTACTCTCATGTATTCATAAATGGACGGTGCCAGGGCAATTTTTCAAAAATGTATAACCTTATTTCTTGTTAAGAGATTGTTGTCTTTGTTTATAGAAATATCGGAGTTTTCGTATGTTATGTGGGAACTTAGTCCGATTTCAAAAATTTTCAACGCATTGCTTTTTTGTGCTAAGGGCAAAATTGAAAGGATAGAAATTGATATATCGCTTACCGAAAAATTACAATAATATAATTTTCAGCTAAGAGTAGTTATTGATGTATCGCAGTTTCTTTAAACGACCATTATATATATTAGAAGGTGTGCGTGGTTGTTGGCCGATTTCAAAAACTTTCAAGGGTTTCTTAGTGAAATCTTAGGTAATGGCTTCACCGATTTATCTTTTCATTCTGAGAATTTTGGTATGTGGGGCATTTCATACCAAAACGGATGGGGTTCACACTTCGTGTGTTTGATTTGTATCAAATTTTTAGGGTTGATGCATAAACATAAATAATAAATAAATGTGAAATTTGAGCTTGATTAATACATTTTTAAAAACTTTACAGCACAAAAACAAAAAAAAATCGACTTAACAAAAATTTGAAAAAATTACACATAGATACATAAAAATTCTCTATGAAAAGAAATATTTAAAAAAAAAAGTTTCTTGAAAAATGTTTCAATCATTTTGAAAAAATAAATCAGTTTCTGAAAATATGCCATCTAAAAAAAAAATGAAAAAATTACAATGGTAGCTCTGAGTATTGTGCAATATATAAGTATAGTATTATGGGGTGCACTCTACAATAATTTGAGTTATGAATTTTTTTTTACACCGAAATTGAGTAAAATGAGTACATTACAAATTTACAATTTTTTTTATTTTTTTTAGAATTTTTCTGATTATGCAGTCTTGTAGCCCATTAAATTTTAGTATAATAAAGTACAAGTTTTAAGCTACTGCAAAATTGTGTTGAATTTTAATATTTTTTATGCTGACGTCTTTTTGCACATTTTTCTTATGGAAGAAAATGCGCAAAACCGTTTTCAAAGAAAAAAAAAAGAAAAAATTAACGCCAGTTTTGCAATCACTTAAAAGACAATAGCTGAAGAAATGGTAAAATGAAAACGTCAACGTGGGAGCCCGGCTGATTATAAATTTTTTGAGTATTTAATCAGGACAATGAACTCCAATTCTCACCTGGTCAAAAAATTATGATTCTCGACTTGATATAAAAATTTCTACCATATCTGTAGACGAAATCAAGCACACATTTAATTAAAAAATTAGATCACATTTCACGTTCAATCGCGCGCATAATTTTATCGCTCTGGCAAATTGAAATGCACGCAAAGACGCCAGTTAACCGCATGTTTTCAACGCTGTTAACAACTACATTTTTGCGATGCTCATAAATCCTGCACGTAACAAAAGACTATTTTTCGTTTTTCTCAACCAAACTCTTCACTAAAAATAAAATTCTTTATGCTAATAGTACTTACTCATTTTATTCTCCTTTTTTTCTTCCATTTCCCATAGCTACGAACTTGGCGATGGCTCGAAAGCTTCACAAGACGGCGTCCTAAAACAAATCAGTCCACAACATGATGGCGAAGCGATTGAGGGTAAATTTGCATTCGTCGCTGATGATGGCAAAGAATATGTGGTGGCGTATGTGGCCGATGAGAATGGCTATCAGCCAGTGGGCGATCATTTGCCAACACCGCCACCCGTACCCGAATCGGTATTGAAGACATTAAAGTATTTGGAAGAGCATCCCTACCATCCAGAGGCGGACAAGAAAAAGCGCAACTAATTTGCATGTGAATTAGAATTTTTTTTCCTGGAAGAGAACTGTGATCTATGCAATGTAATGCGTTAATAATGTAGAAGAGAAACAATTTTTGGACTGATTTGAGAAGCAATGTTGAATGCAATTTCTTGTTAAAAAAAAATAATAATAATAAAGATATTTGTTAAATTTTTAAAGTTAATTTATTTATTAATACGCATAAAATGTATATGGGAATTTACAACAACATGCACTCGGTTTAGCATAGAGACAGCAAAGTTTATTCACCTAAAGCAAAATCAAAACAAAAACCGTCAAAAATTTAGTTAAGCATATGCACAAACAAACACACATACATTTGTACATGCGAATATTTAAATTCATGCGTTGGTATGCATTTATAAAATTCGTAACATATTTTTATATTTTATTCATACAAAATCACTTCAGCGCATATTTTGGCGATCTCCATTAGTATGGCTCGGGAGATACAAATTTTGAGTTTTTACTATTTGTTTCAATTGTTGTTGATTGCTTTTTTTTAATTCTTTATTTGCTTTATTTAACCGTTAGCGGCGTAACAATAAAACTACAATAAACTTGCAAATCTATTGTCAAAAACCGCCAATTTATTTCCATAATCATAACGTGACTTGAATATAATTAAAGCAGGTCATTAAATAGATAGCCCAGCATTTGTGGTAAGTATGTATGTATGTATTAGCCACGTTTTATGAAAGCTTATATAATGTACAAAATGCTAAAGCACCGCAAGACAAGCTTATGTATGTATGTTCGTATGTATGCAAGCTTCACTAAGTATGTGCATATGTATATAGTCATGTGAAAAGTAATAGGAACACGATATTTTGTGTAATATTTTTTTATAACAAATACAGCGCATTATCTAACAAAAGACATTTATGTCCGAATTTCAAAATTTGTAGAATAATTTTAAAATTTTTACAACAACAATAAACCTTTTATTACGAATTTTTAGAAAAAAGAACCTTAGTATGTAGTTTTATATATAGCCCATTAAATCTAGCTTCAAGTAGCTAAGAAATAGCGTTGGTTTTTAATATTTTTTTTTTGCTGACAGTGTCACGCATTTTCTTCCATACAAAGTATGTTCGACAATTTTTTTTTTGTACGCACTTTCCTAAGCTAGAATTTAATGGGCTATAAAACTGCATTCCTATATTTTTTCTAAAAATTCCTAATATAAAATTTAGTTGTTGTTGTAACATTATGTTGATTTTTTTTTAGGTATTCTACAAAATTTGAAATTTTAACTTATATTAATATATGGTTTTTGTTAGATAATGCGCTGTAGATTTATAAAAAACAATGATCATTAAACAAACAAAAGAAAAATAGCTGAAACTGTCAAAAATATCTTGTGCCATTATTTTTCACATTACTGTATATATGTTCATATAAATATACAATTTTCCATGACATGTGGCATTTTAGCAGGTGCCGAATTCCATAGCGCGACTATAAAAAAAAAAACTACTTCTGGAGAAATGACTGACGGATTAAGTGTGCTTCGCTTCCAAAAATTCATCTGATTACCATAGGCCAGTCAATTTTAGAATTTATTTGGGGAAAAAACCGCACAGGGGAAAAAAGATACCATATTTTTCAGGAAAATATTTTAATAAAAATAAAAAAAATATCCTATCTCTCAATTTGAATTACCACAGCGCTGCTACTATCAATGATGCACAAATGTAGAAAAATACAAGTGGTCGTAATTTGCTGAAACTTTATTTCTACAAGGACTACTTTACGGTAATTCCGAAAATGGAATCAGTTCTTTTAACGGTTACCAATTTCGAAAAACCCGAAGTTTTAGTGCCGGTTACCAATTTTGAGAAGGCGTTCACTTTTTTATTATGTTATGAAATGAAATCGCTTTTTTTTGTATTTTTTTATTATTCAATTTTACTGCCAAAATTTTAGTACTTGGCCTATCTCCTTTAATTTCTCTATTAATTCGGTTATTAAAAACTGCGTCACTTTCTCCCATATAATTGAAAATTCTCTCCATGGCAGACTTCATTTCCTCCAATTTTTGGACTTCTTCCTTCCCGGCGAAAGCACCCGTGCTAAGTCGTCGTTTTTACGACAATCAATACAGCTTTCAAATTTTTCTTACCGACAAGATTTATTTTTTCTGGAGCAAAATAATCCACAAAAAAACAACCTCGAGATAAACTTATATAGTCAGCCTTTAAGAGCGCCGTCGAAAGCTCTCGTAACTCAGAGTGTCGAGGGGAGTGATACCTCGAAAGCGATTGAACCTCTCTCAACATGCCGTGGAATCTGCCCTGCACACAATTGTCAAAGTCATATTGGAGTCATTGAAAAACAAAGACTTTGCAGTAAGTGACTTCCTTGATATCGAGGCGGCCTAAAGGGCGCAGAGGCGGGGAGGCGTCCTTTCACCCTTTCTCTGGATAGTCGTGATAAACGACGTCCTGGAGGAATTGGATAGGAGAGGATTCCAGGTTGTAACCTACGCGGATGATGCGGTACTCATCGTCAGAGTAAAGTTCTTTGACACTCTGTATGAGCCTATGCAAGGGTATCTAAATAAACTTGGTAACAAATTGGTCTGCTAACTGCGGAGTTACTATCATTTCTGGAAAGACAGAGATCGGGAGGTACAAAGTGCCTCATTCCCAGCTTCTCTCAAAAAGAGGTGTTTCACTTGTTCTCTCTGACAGGGTTAAGTCCTTGGGTTTTATCCGAGAAGAGAAATTATAGTGGAAGCCAAACATTGAGGAGCGGGTAAATAAATCGTCGGTGAGTCGCACCTGTCGACATTGCAGGCAAAGTAGCGGCCTTCGAAAGCTTCGACTTCCTGCCAGAATAAGTTAACTGGGTTGTTCCGAGGTTGGCCCCAAGAGGATCCTTCTCCACGCACTTCCCTCAGAGCGGGGCGGGAGAGTTGGAGGAGTCCTAGTAGATCTTATGTTCAGACTGCCGGATTTCTGCAGCGTCTTTCAGTCGGAGGTGATCGCTATAAAAGAGGCAGCCGGTTGGCTAGGCGAAAATGTGTTGTCGACTAGGAGGTTAAATATCTAGTCAGCTGGCAATCAGGGCACTGGGATCGCCAATGGTACGATCGAAACTGGTCGGAAGCTGATTTGGATCCTAGGGCAGAGTAACATCACTGAAAAAATTGTAGGGGTGATGAATTGGCTAGGCAGGGTACCCTCGAGCCCATCATCTCGGACAGGGAGGGCGTAGGAGTTCCGTTGGCAGCCTGTGGGCCGCTCCTGGGCAGATGAGTTCACCCCGACATGCAAAGTTGCAAGGTACTTCTGGCCGGTTGTTGACCGCAGGAAATCAAATGAGCTTCTACAGCTTTCGATTCTTACAGGCGTACTGACGGGACGTTGTCCTTTAGGGACGCATGCGGTGCGAGTCAATATCCTCATGGATTACTCCTGCCGCAGTGGCCGAAAAAATCTCTCTCTACTACAAAAGTGTGCGTGCCAGTCAAAACTGCGATTTTTGCGGATTGGATTTTTTTTATATATTTTTGTGCTTTACTCTTTCTTTTTATATAGGAAATGATAGGAAAATTTCATGATTTTCTATTCGTACGAAAGCAAGAATACTCCTCAATATTATGTTCAAATACATCTTTTGATTAGATAGTCTACATAGCATAGCGTTTTTAAACTATGTACTACGAGCTTCTTATGACTTCATCTTCACAAGTTCATATTAGCAATTTTATCTCTATGTATGTATGTACAAAAAACTCCATTAAAAAAAAAATTATAATAATAATTTACTAATTGCCGATTATGACTAGACATCATCACGTACATATGAGAATATTTATACACAAGTATTTGTATACGTACTCGTACGTAATTCTCAATTTCTGCGTAAAATCCATTCGTTTTACTGCTGCAGAATATTTACGTACATTCAAATGTGCATTACCCAAGTTTTTGCACTTTATTATAGTATTTAGTTTACTTCTCCACTTACTCAACTATAGCAACAAGAAAAGCACGCAAATGTTCGAGGTAACCTTTTGTAGATGCTCTAAGTGCTAATTTTTGTTCGAAAAAAACGATGTATGAATATGCTAATAAATTTATTACGTTTTGTATCTGACGAATATCTAGTAAATACACTTACTTATATTTACAATGCATACATACCTACACACATATATATGTATGTATATGTACTTATGTATGTATATTTAAAAGTATTTTTTCAAGAATGTCACATTTCGCTAGTCTCGAAATCAGTACTGATTCTCCACTTAATCTTGCTCAGTCCTTACCTTTTTGGATTTGTAAATATGTATGTAGTTATTTAAGTAAAAACCGAAAGTGATTTACTTAAAAAATTAGTAGTGCAATAATAATTTGTTCAAAGCTGGTAGTAGCTGGAGACCAATTCGAGTAAGCATTTTAAAGCAAAAAGCAAAGCCTTCGATTTTGTGGCTTGAGAAAGAAAAGCCCGACTCTGTTTTTTTATTTTATGAGCGGAATATGACCGGTAAGGTATACTTTGTACTTTTAAGACATTTAAGAGCACAGTTTTATTTTAAATGTATATATTTTTACTTCTACAAGTACCTGAAAAATCGCGAAAATTGCCAAATAAAACTTTAAAACATTTAAAAAATTCTGAAATTATCTGGAAAGCTCCCTAAAAACAAGAAAGTTCCAAATATTCCTAATCATATCATGAAACTAGGGACCGTCATAATTTACCCGCTTAAACTGGATTTCTATTTTAACGACTGAATTTAACCGTAATTTTATTATTTTTGTGTCTTTGACCAAAAATAACCGTTATTTTTGGGTTTTTATTTTTTGATCAATTTTTGATTTTTTTTTTTTTGTTTTTCCGATCATACCCTTTTTTCAGTTAACACATTTATATTAAGAACTTTTAAGCAGAACATAGCCATGCCTTCATGGAAGAAAATTTTAAAGATATTTTTATAAATCAAATTTCGGTTTCTTTATTTTCATATGCATACATACATATAGAATTATAAGAATAGAAAATTGCAGTAAAATTAAACATAAAGTAATCCCGTACGTTGTATAA